TAAACAAACAAAAGGCAAACAAAATGAAACAGTGTATGATTTTATACATCTCATTGAGCAACTGTTAGAAGAAATAGACAAAAAATTAATAAGAATATAGATTATTTGGATTACGATTTTCAGACTTAACCTTATTTACGTAGATAGAAATCTGCATTCAATACCTTATGCATATATAATCTTTTCAAATACACATAAGACATTTAACAAAATCACCATATGCTAAGCCATAAAATAACTCAACAAATTTCTAAGTTTTGAAATTTTAGAAAGTATATTCTGTACTCATAGTATAATTATATTAATAATGCTAAAAGTCAATAGAAAAAGAGGAAAAGCTCTAATATTTGAATATTCATCAGTATACCTCTAAAGAATCTGTGGGTCAAAGAATTTGTGATGCATATGAGTGAATGTTTTCTGCTGAGTGACAATAAAAATGCAACTTTTCAAAAGAAGGGATTCAGGCCAGGTGCGGTAACTCATGCCTGTAATCCCAGCACTTTGGGAGGTTGAAGAGGATGGATCATTTGAGGTCAGGAGTTTGAAACCAGCCAGGCAAATGTGGTGAAACCCTGTCTCTACTAAAAATACAAAAATTCGCCAGGCATGGTGGTACACACCTGTAATCCCAGCTACTCAGGAGGCTGAGGCAGGAGAATTGCTTGAACCCAGGAGGTGGAGGTTGCAGTGAGCCGAGATCACACCACTGCACTCCAGCCTGGGTGACAGAACGAGACTCCATCTCAAAAAAAAAAAAAAAAAGAAAAAAAAGAAAAGAAAGGAGGCATTCAACTTAAACAGTAGATAAAGGTAAATAATAGTCTTAAAATTATATATTAGAAAAAAAAGAGTGGCTGAAAATTGTTCATGTAAGTGTCCTCTGAAGAAGTTATAATCAGAAGACTCAACTAAATTTCCAAAAAAAAAAGTAAAAAGAAGAAAGCAATATTAAGAACATAACTATGTTAACAAAATAGGAAAAAATAGAGAAAAATATCAAAGTTTAACATCTCAATTTTTTAGACTGCTGGACTAAAAAGTAAGAAAAAGCTAATTACCAAAATCAGGAATGGGAGAAATACATTAATATTAGTAAATATTGAGATTTTTAAAATATTTTATGCCAATGATATTGATCAGTTATATTTCTTAGCAAATGCCTAGGAAAACATACACAGCTTTGCAAATCTGTTGAAAGAGGAATTACAAGCATTATTAAATATATCAAATATGTTATTGAAAGCTATCCATCAATTAAAACTCTAGGACAAGGTAGCTTCACCATTAATTTCTGTCAAACTTTTAAGGAAAAAATAATATCTTATGCAAACTCCTTTAAAGAATATAAAATCATACAAGGGAAACAACTTGTTTTAAAAGACTAACAACTCTGATACAAAAACAGTAGAACTGAAAAGCAATTAATTCTATGGTCATGCAGCAAAATACTATACGGCAACTAAAATAAACTACAGTGGAAGAATACCACCACCATAATATTTAACTAAAGGTAGTCAGAAAAATTAGAACACATACTTTGTATTATTCAAAAGGATACATCAAGTGTGAGTCTATTTACATAAAATTTAAAAGTAAGCAAGCCAGGTGCAGTGGCTCATGCCTGCAATCCCAGTTCTTTGAGGGCTCCAGGGTGGGAGAATCATTTAAATCCAAGAATTCGAGACCAGGCTGGGCAACCAAGCAAGACCCCCCAACTCTACACACACACATACACACACACACACACACACACACACACACACACACATACACACATAGCAGTAGCAGCAGCAGCAGCAGCAACAGCAGCAGCAGCATGAATCTATGGTGTTAGTCATTATGATACTGGTGCTTTTGGCTAGGAGAGTGAATTAGTGACTAGGAAGGTACATGAGGAAGCTCTCAGGGTGTTAATAAAACTTCAATTTTTTTTTTATCTGGGTGGTGGTTTCTTGGAGGCACTCACCTTGTGAAAAGTCATCCAGCTGCACTGCTATGCTTTCTGCAATTTTCTACATGTAGGTTGTACTTCAATAAATATATTTATTTTTATTATTATTATTAGTTTTTTGAGACAGAGTCTCACTATGTCGCTAGGCTGGAGTGTAGTGGCACAGTCTCAGCTCACTGCAACCTCCACCTCCCCACAGAGAAGAATCAAGCGATTCTAGCCTCCCGAGGAGAATCAAGCAAGTCTAGCCTCCCAAGTAGCTGGGATTACAGGTGCCCACCACCACGCCTGGCTAATTTTTGTGTTTTTAGTAGAGACAGGATTTTACCATGTTGGCCAGGATAGTCTTGATCCCTTGACCTCATGATCTACCCTCCTCGGCCTCCCAAAGTGCTGGGATTACAGGCATGAGCGACTGCGCCCAACTTAATAAATATATTTATTTAAAAGTTTTCATATACCAAGTTATGAAGCTGAAGGATAGTTTTCCCATCTATCAGTAGAAAAAGAAAACTTCAGTCAACCACGGTAGAGGAAAAATGATTCTACTAGCTCTACGGAAAATTATATGACAAAAGTGTTGACATATGAAAAGCCAGTCAATGATAAGCAACCAAATATATAGGAAAACAGCGTTAGAGGAGTATGTCAGATTCTTTTTTTAGAGACTTAAAACGTTATTTATTTGTTTGTTTGTTTGTTTGTTTATTTTTTGAGACAAGCTCTCACTCTGTCACCCAGGCTGGAGTGCAGTGGTATGACTATGGCTCACTGGAACCTTGACCTGCTGTGCTCAAGTGATCCTCCCACCTCAGCCTGCCTAGTAGCTGGGACTACAGGCGTGTGCCACCATGTCATGCTAATTTTTGTATTTTATTTGCAGAGGTGGGATTTTGCCACATTTCCCAGGCTAGTCTTGAACTTCTGAGCTCATGTGATACACCTGTCTCAGCATCCCACAGAGTCTTAATTAATAAAGTCATTATGCAATTTTTCTGGAATAGCTCAGCATGCATCATTTAGGATGCTTTTAATTATGCCTACAGAAAAACAGCTCACACAGGTTGAAACAGTAAAAAATGGAAACTATAAGTTCATCTAAGAGGAGGTTCATGATGAGAAGACTTAATGTTGTCTGTACCCAGAATCTTCCCTTTTCACTGCTTTGCTCTACAAAGAGTTTAACTTTGCCCTAAACCTATATACTGTGATGGCTTGTGATAATAGTTATCAGCCTTGCACATGATTTTTTGTATATGTTGGTGATGGAGAGAGGTGAACTAGTCTCCCTTAACTTCTCTAAGAATGAGGAAAACTTCTCCCCAACTTCTAGCAACTCATTATCCAGAATTGAACCAAACGTTCAATCTTTAGCTAATTTGGAAATGGAATTAAAATGTCCTTGGAGCAAACAGGCCCACAGCTGAAGGGCTCAGCCTTCCTAAAGTAAGAGGCTGTATGAGGATGGGCTGGGTATTTAAAAACACAATGAAGACATGTTAAGTGGTAGGATGGGGTAAGGAACAGTGTGCTCCTCGGTAGTCATTGGTCTCTCTAGAAATATGAATGCAAGATCCATTCAACAATCACAAACTTAACAACCTCCTCATATTTACAGCTTCTTTGCTAGGATATTTTTGTTTATTTCTTATCTATTAGGAATTGTGCCTTTAATATCCTCTGCAATTAAGCATCTTTGACTTAGATTTGTCTAGAATTCCTTTTCATATGCTTTAATACCTGCATAAGTATACTGGAATTATCATTTTAAATTTTCACATGAAACACACTCATTTTTTCTAGTATGCCAACTTCAATTATGTTTACAGTGTATTTATTGCTGGCCTTTGGTTTCTTAATGCCATTTCTTTGCAAAAGTAAGTACTTTAGCATAAGTCCTCTCCTCTAGATCAGGTTTACCCAGTCCTGGGTAAACCATACGTTTCATTGGTGGTGTTGAGAGCAACACTCAGAGGGGAGACTTGGGATAAAGGTGCCTTGAAAACCGAGAGGACAGTAGCAGATGAAGAGGATGTGGATTAGGACTACCTTGTGAACTCAGGATCCTGGTACTTTACATCAACAGCAGTTAATAATCCAAAGTATGCCTTAGGACTTTGGGGAACCTTCCTAACTATAGACCAAATATCAGTAGGACACAGTTTCTTTAATGTTATCGGTTTGGGAAACCTTATTTGGGCTGAAAGAAATGGATATGCATTAAAAACCTTGCTATACAATCAGCAGCAATATAAAGTACACTGATTTTATTTCTTAATTGCAATAGATAGGAAATAACCAAACTTACCAACTTTCCTCCTATTACAGACTGTTGTCATCATTCTGTCAATTTTCAGTAATCGAAGATATATGTACACACACATATGTACATATGCACATGTAAATGCACACATACACACACCCACAAAGGAAACTGGAGATACTAAACCAAGGTTAAAAACAGATGTATTTTGTCTCAAAATGTCAATTTTTATAAAATAATTCACATTATTTAAATTGTAAATTTCTCTATGAATCTGAAATATAATTTTATTTACATGTAAAATCAGTATTTATGGAATTAATGTTCCATACCAAAAAATTAACATTTTCACAATAAGATAAAAGCAGATAAACAAAGTATTCTAGAAATGGTTCTCATTTGGTCTTGTCTAAAAATTGTTGAAGAAAACAGATTTTATTTTTGAAATTTTGTTTCCAACACACCCTGTGCTGTCTGGGAATGCGATGTTTAGTCACATGTAAAGGTTCAAAGAGATCTCTAAATTTCCACACACATAAAAATGGCAAAGACTATATTATATAAACTTTTTCACAAACTGATAAAGATTACTAAGGCTAGATCTGCTCATACAAAGTGTGGAATTAAAGCCTGAAATTAGATGACCACTTTTAAAATGAGAGCCCGTTGCCTTCCTGAGCTGCTGTGGAGAAGGACGGCATAGATACCAGGACTGGGTAAACCTGATCTAGATCTTGGATCTGCCAATGTATTCACGGTGTGAGTCTGGGAAAGTTACTTCACCTCTCTTTGCTTCCGTTTTCTCTTTTGGTGAATGGAGATCATTTGGCGAATTGAATCAGGTCCTCAAGTTTCATCGCCATTGACTACTGAAGGTGTGATTTGCAGGAGCTCCTTTACTTTCCCTACGGTTTTCCCATCTACAAAATGCGGCAATGCTTAACTCACAGAGTTCTTGAGATGACTGAATAGGATATGTATGGTTCTGAGTGCAGAATATGGAACAGAGAGGCCTTTGATAGTAACAAGAGGCTTCTACTCTGTTAGGAACTATTTCACGGACTAGCAATACCTAGATGAATAAAAAACAGCACAGCCTCTGACTTCAAAGAACCCACTAAAGTTGAGATGCCCTAGGGATTAAATAAGCCAGTGTCCCTAAAGCTATCTAGCATATGTAAGCACTCAATACATGTTATTAATACTTTTTCCTTTTATAATTGATTTTATGGATGTAGAGTCCTGACTCTCAAAGCTCCAGTTGGAGATGTTTAATGAATAAGAGACCTAAATATGTAATTTTCACATCTTAAGATTTGTCATCAATTTTTAAAATTGTTGCAGCATGTGTTAGTTCTTACTTTTAATACTAAAAATCTTTTTCTGGGTATCTATTAATATGTAGAAAGCTTCACTTCCACCACGTCCCATAATGCTTTCCACCACCTTATAAGGGTGTAATATTCCCACTTTCTTAATGACTTAGAGTGGCTCAAAGAGGTGAGGTGACATGCCTAAGGCGCGCGCGCACACACACACACACATGCACCCACACACATTGCTTGGAGCTGTGCCCCTTCCATGCCCAGGTGGGAGTTGCCTGGTGCACCGCACCTTAGGAGTAGCCGAGTTTGGTAGCACTTCATTCTGTCAGACAATCAGGGCGACAGAGAGGAGCAGCCCGAAAACTGTAATGCCACGGTTAAGCAAGGGAACAGCTGCTTCACTTGCCCATCTGGCAGCCGGGTTTGGGAGTGACTGGGTGCAATGTAGTGACTGCACTGCCCAGAGATTAGAAAGAGCAATGTTCTCCAAGGCTTCCCATGCGCGTAATTGTATTAGAAGAGCTAGCATGTTAATGGTGGATGTGGTGATAATAACAATAACAGCAGCAACAACAATAATAATACTATCCTATTTTTTTCAGAAAAGATAGCCTAAAAGGGTTAAGAATCCCAGCAAGACACAACATAGACGGGCTGAAAACTCGTGGCAGGATGGAAGGTATAAAGACGCCGGGGAAGTGACTGGGGAATAATAAAATAAGAGGGAAGCTAAACCAGTGACCCTTGTCGGCAGTGAAAAGCGGGAGATTAGAAAATGTTTCATGCTAATTTCCATGGAGATTTCTTTAATTTAGCGAAGATTGCTTCCCGGGCTCCGCCTGGCCCGCGCCGGCCCGCGTCCTCGGTGGTCTGGGCGCCCCGGCTGAGCAGCTAGCGGGTCACTCGGGCGGCTCCGACGTCTCTATCAGCCGCGCCCGCGCCGCCCGCCTCCCAGCGCTCCTGCCCGAATCTCGCTTTTTTTTCTTTCCGTGGCAGTCTTAGGATTCTTGTCACATGATGGCTTCATCGGGCCCTTCTCCTCCTGATCCTTTCAAGCTCTTTCTCCTGCCTGGCATATCAAAGGAGATTTGTGGGTCACCGAGCCGGGACGCAGCGTATAAAGTCATCAGCCTGGCCGGCACCACCTCGATCATTTGCCGCATTGTTCTTGCAAGGAGCCCAGGACGGCTGTGGCTCTTTAATAACTAGCTTAGTAGCCGAAAAATCTTAATTTTCAAAAATACAAAATAAATAAATAAATAAATAAATAATAAATAAATAAATAAAAGAGACAGTCTAATAGTTTATTCGTTTTTCCATACGCTCCTAATTGAAACTCAGTAGCAGCCTAAGATAAAGCAACACATCAGATGAATTAAAATGTTTCACAGAATTTTTATTATTTAGCATTATTATTGTTCTAGAATGAAATTAACAATTTAAATACGGAACCCGCTTGCTAATTCAGCAACGAGATTAGAAACGGCACTTTTAAAATACGTATTGTACGGTTATGTATGCACAAGCCTTTTAGAGAATAACTGTTTTAAGTTTACCGCGTAATTGAAATTCAAACGACTTCATCATCACAGTGAAATATGTTTTAAATGGAAGATTTCTGCAATGTATATGGAGGTGGATGCATGTGTGGTTATGTATGTATATACAGTATAACATAGTCTCCAAAATCAGCCCCAGTGATAGACTCCGTATTTCAACTCTTTTCTGGGTAAAGATTGCTCTTGTTTGCAGAAATATGTAGAACAGATCAGAAGATTGCCTCTTCCCGCTTCCTCACTGAGTTTTCGCCTGCTTCATCTACTTTTCTTAATTCCCACGGGAGCTGCAATTAAGGCCTGAGGCACTGGCTTCAGTGAAAATTTTACTGGAGTAAAACTCTTCTGCCAAGTCATTTTTGATCAAAGACATTTCCGTGGCTGTTGCTGCTCCTACAGTCTGAATTCTCTTCTCTACTTTTTTCTCTTGTGCTTTATTTTAGACCTTCTGGCTGCATTTTCAGAGGTTCTGTGTTGCCTTACTATTTTACAGGCATAACTTTTATTAATTTGCTTTAGTTAGTTACAGCCTGAAAGGTCAGGGCAAGTTTCTTTGGCATTAGTTATCTATCATAAAATTTGCCTATAAAAAAGGAAGTGTCCCCTTAAAACCTTGCCTCATGATAAGACATAAATTCCTAATCACTGTGATGTGTTTGGGGAAGGAATGTGGGAGTCTTGCATTAAAATTTAAAATAAGTTTTTGTCTTCAATCCTTACAATTCATGTGACCAACTAAGTGTAGCAAATACATAAATTGTATGTCTAAAACAATACCAAAAGTATAACATGATTTATGTACATAAGTAAATTCACAAGTACTCTATTTAGCTAAAGAAAAGTTCTTGAGGCCCTTTTCTAGAACTTTACCATTTCAATAATTAGAAATAATTCAGAGTTGATATGGCTACTATGTAATGTTCATTCCACTGTTTCCTACTTCCATACCCATAACAGACTTTGAAGAAAAACCTTGCTCTAGGTCACACTTGGTCTCAATAATTTATCCCACTCACCCACCCACCCACCAGAGGGCCACCAGCAATCTACTGTATGGATGCTATTGGCCATCCCTAATCAAGAGTAACAAGCATATTTTGTGGTTGTAAACCACTAAAGTCACCTCTTACTATCAGTTCTAGAATATTTAGAATGCAAAATTTTTATTCAGTGTCCCCTATGACAAGAAGGTTCGTTTTACATTTTTTCCAACCCCGAGTGATTTTGGAGAGACATTTGACTCTTATTTTGATATTCCATTGTGAGAATATCCTTGACTTCATTCATGAAATATAGAGACCTTTTGGATCACTCATTGAGCACTATCAATGGAAGCTGGATTTTGAAAATAAGAAAAAAGTGTAATAGTTACAAATAGCTGCCATATTCATTAGCTGGTGATAATTGATAATGCTATCATACCTTTATATCTCCACAGTAAAAATCTGTGATCCATAATCAATTAAAATATTTTTATGAGTATATAAAAATCCTTTTTAGCTAACAGAACACGGACAGGCTATTGAGGAGTTTTTCTTTTCTGTTTCTAATATACATACATTTTGTATGTCAGATTTTGACAATGAGGCAAGGAGTCTATGGTAGACATATTCATCTGGAGATGAAACATATACTTAGACTGACAGGATTTGGGATTTGGTAATCCCTCAATCATATAAGTGAGCATGGGTCATTTCTGTAAAAATAAAACCTTAACTGGCATATTGGGGAAAAATACCTGGCTTATTTTATTTGTTTTACTTTGTTCTCATTAAGCTCTTATATTTAATATACAATGTAGTCTCTCATATTCATCTCTCTCTGTCACCTCCTCAAAATTTGAGATTATTCTTGCATTTAATTCTGGGCTTAATGACAATGCATTCCCACAGGATCAAATACCATCATCCAGAGTTAAAGTTAGGAGGGATGGTATTATATCATTAATTTCATAAATATGCAGTAGTAAAATGAAGTGTTACCCGGTGCTGTCAGCATTCAGCAAATTCCTTCGTGTATGCTCAAATACATTAACTGACCATGTGCCTGGGTTATTAGATATTCACACTTTGTAAGAAGATTTTCCAAAAGTGATTTTGCCCCCTTTGTTTAAGGGTTGTATGGATTGTCAAGATAGGAAATGAGAAAGGGGGATTTTATATCACATCTTAGTGTCCAACCCAGACATGTCACTGCTTTTCACTGTCGGTGTTTCCCAGGAAATGTTCTTAGTGGACTCAGAATCCTTATGACACACTTTTATTCTTATATTAATACTGATGAGAGCTGAAGTATAAGCCAGGGCCTATTTATGAGTGTCTTAACACAGATAATATGACCAAAATAATCTCAGTATTCAAACAAAATGTTAGGATCTTTACCCGACTTGCCTTATTTGGGTAATCCTATTTTAAACTATTTTAATAATCTGTAAAGTTGTCATTGATCAATTTGATGGAATCTGAAGTCTTCCTTGCTTATTTAGTTACTTATTTATTTATTTTTTTTAAAAAAAGACTAAAAGCAATAGCTTGGCTTAAGATGCCGGAGGTACTGGGAGAAACAATGATAGAAAGTACAAAACAAAGAGTAGAGACATCACTGTTGGAAATAATTTTGCAAACCTCAGTACATGCATGTGTGTTTTTACCCCCTTCTCCCATTACTGATTTCCCCTGGCTCTACCTTCTCATCCACTGAAAAAAATTTCCTGAAAATTAGGTGAGAATAATACGCCAATACCCAGAAATATCACAAGGAACTCACATTTTAACTTCTTTCAGAACCCAAGAATGGGTAGTCATTTATTTTATTTAGGGTTCTGAGAAGAGATCCTGCCCCAAATCTTGTTTCTAGGCCAGTTTCTTGGCCTTGGCACTATCAACATCTGTTCTGGGCAATTCTTTGTGGTGGGGCTGTCCTGGGCACTGCAGGATATTTAGCTGCATCTCTGGCTTTTACCCATTCCTGTTAAAGTGACCAAAAATATCCCTCCAAATTGCAAGATTTGGCAATGAAAGCATGGGGTAGGGGGAGGACAAAAATATCCCTCTAATAAGAACC